AGAGGGGTGAGAGGGTCGTCCCTGGACAGAGTCACCCCTGACTTCTCTTCTCTCTCTAGGGATCTGGGCCCCAACACCACCATCAAACTCTCCTAGGCCGTGCCAAGACCAAGGACACAGGACGTACCCTCTGGCACTCAGAAGAGGGGTTGTCTTACTCACTAACCCGGATCCGGCTAGTACCCCTGCCCCCTGGGGTCCGTCTTCCCCCCAGCCCACCTTTGCCCCAGATGTTGACTGGGGCCTCTCCTCTCCCCACACATTGGGACTGTCCCCTTAGGCCAACCGCTCTGTTCTCACCACCACTCCACAGCCATCCGTCCTTCTCAGAGAGACCACTCACTGGGTTACCTTTCTCATAACGACCGACAGGACCACTGCCTCCCTGCCCCAGCCCCGCCACACACACACACACACACACACACACGTCAACAGACCGACACACACCCCCACCCTTCCCCCCACTGTACAGAGACCAAGAACAGAAATTGTTTGTAAATAATGAACCTTATTTTTTATTATTGCCAATCCCTAAGATATTGTATTTTACAAGTCTCCCTCCGACCTGCACCCCTCCCTTGTTTTATATTTTATGAAGTTAGTGCGGGCTTTGCTGCTCCCTGGCCCAGGAAAGAGGGTCCCCCCCCACCCCTCACCTGGCCTCCTCCTGCCGCTGCCCAAGCGCTGGGCCTTTTTAATTGCCGAACTGCTTCATCCAACAGCTCAGCACATGCTTTAAGAAGGCATAAGTAAAAAAAAAAAAAAAGATGCAGCATCAATTCCTGACTTTGTGCCTTTCTTCATCGTTGGGGTGGGGGGGGGGGGGGTGGGACTGAAGGATGAAGGAATAAGAAGGGTACGTTTATTTTATATTCTGACCGGAGGTGATTGGGGGTGAGGGGTTTGAGAAAGCATTTGCGTTGAGTTCCCTCTTCCAGCCAGGCGAGAGTTCAAACTAGATGGTCAAAGAATTCTGCAGCAATTCCCCCACCCCAAGGCTCCTCCAAGTACCTACGATTGCTGAGTATGGAAGCAGAAAGGCATATAAGCCACCAAGATGGCCTTTAGGGGGTGGTAACTGCAATAACGAACACCTAGGGTGGCCAGGCACTGCACCAGGCACTGTACACGCCGTACTCAGGTTGGTCCTCCTAAGACCTGCCAACTTCTTGGTTCTTGTATCCTTTGCTTCAGCTGGATTAAAAGCACAGACTTCAGAGTAAGAACAGCTGTGTTTGGCTACTGGAGCTGCCACTTGCTAGCTATGTGCGGTGGGCAGAATTCCAGTATGACTCCAAGGTTCCTGCCCCCTGGCATACACACCCTGTTTCATCCCTTCCCCTAAGGTCTGGAGGGGACCTGTGAATGTGAGGGGATGTCACTCCCGTAATTAGGTGACCTTTCATGGAAAAAGTAAAGGGATTTTGCAGGTGTAAGTAAGGTCCCAAATCAGTTGATTCTGAGTTAATTAAAAAGGAGGTTATCCTGGGTGGGGGGCCTGACCTAATCAGGTGAGAGCCATTAAAAGAGGGACTGAGCCCTTCCTGAAGAGATAGTCTCCTGCTGGCCTTGAAGAAGCAAACAGCCATATTGTTGTGAACCACATGGAGAGGGTGGCCTCTAGGCGCTGAAGGCCTCATGGTATGGTGGCAAGGCATCGGATTCTGCCAACAACCTGAACAGCTTGGAAGAGGGCCTCAGCTCCAGATGAGACCCCAACCCAGCCAACACCTGGACTGCCACCTGGTGAGAGCCTGAGCACAGGACCCAGCTGAGCTGTACCCAGATCTGAGCCATGGACACTGAGATCATACATGTGCTGTTTTAAGCCATGTTTGTAGTAATTCCTTATGCCGTGTAGGAAGCTAAGACACTACGTAACCTGAACCTCTCTGAGCCTCCACTTCTCCATTTATAAAAAGAGGATATAACTAAGATTCAGTACATGAGGCTGTTGTAGGGATTCAATGAGGTAAATCATATAAGGAGTTTAGAACAGGGCCCAACGTACACTGGCTCTGAGAAAGATTAGCTGTGCATTTAGAGGCAGTATCAATACAGTGAGCTAAGAGCCAAGCTAGGGGTGCTATTATAAGCACAGAGGAGGGTGCCTCACCCAGACAAGCAGTAAGGGCTTCCTGGAAGAGGTGACACGAAGGACTGTTGGAAGTAGGCAGGAGAGAGAAAGGGGCATTCCAGAAAGAAACGGCCTGGGCTAAGGCCTCAAAGGTGGGAGAGAGAGCAGGAAAACTTCAAGAAAACCTCAAATAGTTCAGAACAGCCAGAAAGTAAAGGGCAAGGATGCTGAGAACTGAGGCTGGATAGTGATCAGGGCCTAGATCCAGAAGGGCCTTGAATGCCTTGCTCTAGCATTTGGACTTTATCATGCAGGCGTGGTACTTTCATACTCGGAAGAAGGAGCCTGGTGGTGGGATGGCGCCTGGGCCAGCCGCCCACCAGAGGAAAAGATGGACAAGACCAGACAGAACTATGGAGCCTCAGAATTGGCCTTCAAGGGACTTCCCTGGCAGTCCAGTGGTTAAGCCTTTGCCTTCCAATGCAGGGGGTGCGGGTTCGACCCCTGGTTGGGGAGCTAGGATCCCACATGCCTTGCGGCCAAAAAAACAAAACATAAAACAGAGACATTATTGTAACAAATTCAATAAACACTTTAAAAATGGTCCACATCAAAAAAAAATCTTTAAAAAATAAAAAGAATTGGCCTTCAAGCCCCATCCTCTATCCTCCTCCCACAGCCTCATCTTGACCACTTGATGGGGACCTCATTGCCTGCTGCTGGGCATCAGTTTTAACTGCTAGAACACACAGGCCTTTGCAGCAAGGCCATTAAAGTCTGGGCTCTGGGCCAAAGCTATGATTATTATTAACAATAACTTTTAGCACACCCCCTTTCCTGATTGATTCATCCATTCTCTCTATTAGTCATTCACCAAACTGCCTTCAAAGGTCCCCCAGGCTTGTGGAGGAGGCTGGGGAGTAAACCAGTCATCAGAGCCAGTGTGATGGAGGGGTGTACAGGATGCTAAGGAGATGCAGAAGAATGTCATGCAATTCAGATTCTGTGGGTCAGGGAGGGCAGCTTGGACTGAGTCTTAAAGGATGGGTAGGAGTTGGCGAGGTACACAAAGGGTTAGGGTGTTTGGGGTGGAGAGAATGTCAGGTGCAGACACAGAGCCATGAAAAGCAGGGCCAGGACCCGGTTGAGGCAAGGGGGGTGATTAGCCTGCAAAATTTAAGGAGGCACTTGTATAGCCCTGAGAGTGAGTACCTCCTTAAATTTGGCACCCTAGGAGCCCCAACTTGCTTCACCCTCATCCCGGCCCTGATAGAAAGTAGGGCCCTTGCAGGGATCTAAAGAAAGAACATTTTATCCTGAAGGTGATAGAGAGCCGCTGAATATGGTTAAGCCGGAGCATGAGATAATCAGATTTGCCTGTCCTGGGGCTCTGCAGCGGGTATAGTGAAGATGAGACAGATTCTGGAGATAATTAGAAGGAATTATCAACAGGCTTTGACATCAAATTGGCTGTGGAGTGCAAGAGGGAGGGTGGAGCCCGGCATGACATTTAGGTGTCTGACTTGGAGGCCACGGTGGTGGTGGATGAGACCTTTCGCTGAGACAGGGAATGCAGGAGGAAGAGCAGGTTTCGAGAGAAAAAGAATTCGTTTTATCATATCTTGCATTTGAGCTGCCTGTAGAATGTTCACATTAGCATGCAAGTCCAGGGCTTGCCAGAAAGGGGTCCCAGGCAGATTAGAAAATTGTCAGCATCCAAGTGGTATGTTAAAGTCTTGGGTCTGGGGGCTTCCCTGGTGGTGCAGTGGTTGAGAGTCCACCTGCCGATGCAGGGGACATGGGTTCGTGCCCCGGTCCGGGAGGATCCCACATGCCGCAGAGCAGCTGGGCCGGTGAGCCATGGCCGCTGAGCCTGCGCGTCCGGAGCCTGTGTTCCGCAACGGGAGAGGTCACAACAGTGAGAGGCCCGCGTACTGCAAAAAAAAAAAAAAAAAAGTCTTGGGTCTACACAAAGTGAAGAGAGATTTAGGGAAGGACTCCAGGGAAGTTGGACATTAAGAGACAGTGGAGGAAGAGGAGTGAACAAGAAGGCTGAAAAGGAATGGTCGGAGAGGGGAGAAAAACCAGGAGAGGTGAGTGCCCCAGAGACTGATGGAGAGAGCTTCCAGGAACGGTGCTCACAAGTGTCAGATGCTATCTGAGAGGCTGGAAAAGATGAGAAGACAACGTGTCTATTTGCTTTGATAATGAGGAGGTCGCCAGTGACCGTGGCTGGAGCTGTGTAGGGAAGAACTGGGGCAGAAGTGAGACCCGGGTGGAAGTGAGGACAGGTGGGTCAGATGTGAAGACTGGGGTAGACGGGGAATGTAGTGAACACTTGTCACAGAGGGTGGCAACTAGAGGGGGGATGTAGGTGAGATCAAGAGCAGTTTGGGGCTGCTCTTTTAGATGGGGGAGAGTTGACCATGGTTATTTCTAGAAGACAAAGACCCAATAGAGAGGGAAGATGATGGATGATGGGGGTGGGTGGGGGAGAGGAAGGGATTCAGGGAGCAGGTGGAAGGATCCACTTTTTTTTTAAAAGAAATACTTTATTCTTTTTTTAAAGATTGATTTATTTTTAAATTTATTTTATTTATGTATTTATGGCTGAGTCCGGTCTTAGTTGCGGCACATGGGATCTTCGTTGAGGCATGCAGGATCTTTCGTTGCAGCATGCAGTCTTCTCTCTAGTTGCCGCATGCGGATTTTCTCTTCTCTAGCTGTGGTGTGCGCGGGCTCCAGGGTGCGTAGGCTCTGTAGGTGTGGCGCTCAGGCTCCAGAGTGCGTGGGCTCTGTAGTTTGCAGCACGCGGGCTCCAGTTGAGGCGCGGGAGCTCAGTAGTTGTGGCGTGCGGGCTTTGTTGTCCCGCAGCATGTGGGATCTTAGTTCCCTGACCAGGGATCAAACCCGCATCCCCTGCACTGCAAGGCAGATTCTTTACCACTGGACCAGCAGGGAAGTCCCAAGAGATCCACTTAGGACTGGAGAAGCCTAGACAGAAATGGAGGGCACGCTGTGAGTGCAGAACATGGAGAGACAGGAAACTGAGGGAGCCCCCATAAGGCTGTGAAGTTTGGGGATGGGCAATGGGGACGGTGGGCATGGGAGTTGCACTGGGGAGAAGGGGAAGAGTTTGAAATAGTCACTCAGAGGAGTAGGAGACAAAGCCTCATCCTTCAACAGATATTTACTGGGACTTCCCTGGTGGCACAGTGGTTAATAATCTGCCTGTCAATACGGGGGACACGGGTTCGACCCCTGGTCCTGGAAGATCCCACATGCCGCGGAGCAGCTAAGCCCATGTGCCACAACTGCTGAGCCTGCTCTCTAGAGCCTATGAGCCACAACTACTGAAGCCCGGGTACCACAAATACTAAGCCCATGTGCCGCAACTACTGAAGCCCGCATGCCTAGAGCTCGTGCAACAAGAAAAGCCACCGCAATGATAAGCCCATGCACCACAACGAAGAGTAGCCCCTACTCGCCACAACTAGAGAAAGCCAGCACGCAGCAACGAAAATCCAACACAGCCCAAAATTAAAAAATTTTAAAAACCAAATATTTACGGAGTATCCCTTAGGTACATGGCACCATGCTGACCTTGGAGCACAAACAAGACCCAGCTCCTGATAGCAAAGGGCTTGAAATCTAGCATCCTCCCATTATTGATTTGCGACCATCCGCCAAGCATTGGACTGAGAACTTTACATGTCCAATTAGGAATCAAAATAATACTAAAGGGTGAGTATTTTTATAGATGAACAATGTGGGGTTCAGAGAGGTGAAATGACTTGACCAAGGTCATACATCTAGTAAGTGGCAAAGTGGGTACTTGAAGACAGGTCTGTTTGGCTTCAGAGCTTATGTTGCCCCTCCGGCTCTCCAGCTCTCATCCCAGCACAGCTTCCTCCCTCCTTCCCCACAGCCGAGCTTCTTATCCTTGCACAAGATCCAAGCACAGTGGGGCGTCCTGGAGCCCAGGGTTTGGCAAGTTGGTCAAAGCATGGTCATCTGCGGTCACCACCCTATGCCTGTCCATCCCAGGCAGTCTTCCCCACCTATGTTAGGAGGCAGGGTTAATCCCCTCGCACAAGCCATCTGTTGACATCCCGCCTCCTCAGCGCTGTGTCACTGCTGCTAAGGGGGCACATCCCCAGTATGGCCCCAGTGATGGAGCTGCAGCTCCGCACTCTACTGTCAGCCCTGGCAGCTGGCCTTGCCGCAAACACGTGTGATGGCTTTCATGGGGCCAGTCATCCTACTCAGGTTGCCACAACCAACCCTTTGTTACACCTGGAAACCAAAGCTCTAGCAGCAGGGAGAGCAGCTGTGGGCGATGCCTGGAGCTGGGATGGGCCAGGGCCAGGCTCCAATTCCAGAGGGTGGACCACCCTGGCCAAATGGGGCACCTATCTGATGTGGGTAACAGGTGCCCCTTGGGGCATTGGGATGGAGGAGACAGGCTGGGAATTCACCTCCAAAGGAGCCCGAGTCTCTCTGTCATCGGAGTGACAGTTAAGAGCATAGGTCTGATGTCCATGCTGCACTTTTGTATGCGACCTTGGCAAATTACCGAACCTCTCGAAGCCTCAGCACCCTCAACTGAAGAACAGTACCCACCCTCCTAAAGTTGCTGTGAGGGGTAAACGAAAGCTTGCACATGAAGACCTTGGCACAAGGTCAGTTATGCAGTAAACACTCAAAAGGCATTAGCTATTGTTTTCTGAGCGCAGAGACGATGGCTGCAGTCGTTCCATGAAGAGAGTTGCAGCTGGGAGAGGCTGCAGAAGGTGGTCAAGCGGGTCGGGGTGGGAGCGAGGGGGGCTTTCATTTTTCCCTTGGATTCTTGGGAAGAGGGCAGAGCCACAGCTAAAAAATAATGCAGTCAGCAGCTGGTCCTAAGTGGGGAAGGTGTGAGGACAGAGTGGAGAAGCTTCACTTTAAAAAGGACTGAGCGGGGAGAGCTTCGAAGGAAAGAGCTGAACAAGAAACCAACAGGCAACCCAGCAGCTAAGCAGCTGTGAGGGAATGTCAAATCCAGCTAGAACTACCATAATTCTTGGTATAGGCAGCCTGGGTGTTTGGAAAATTAGCAATCCTAAAGGCAATCTCAGGGGCGAAGATGTGGGGAAGGAGGAACTCCCAAGTGCCCCAGCCCACCCTCTTCAGCAACAGGGCTTCTTTAGAACTTGGCTTTAGGGAGGAAGCTCCCCTGTGGCCAAGCTGTTTAATGCAATTCCATTTATACCATTCATCCAAGATGGGATTGCTGGACCAGGAGAGAGGGGGGAGGCAGAGCTGGGGCATCCGCCTTTTGGGAGTTTACAGATGAGGGAAACGGGCAAATGTGAGGCTGTTACTGTGTGGCAGGCAGCACGGGAGAGTAGAAAAGGGCATGAGTTCTGGGGCCAAAATACCTGGATTTAAATCCTGGCTCACCACTCACTCACCTCACCTGAGCTATCTTGAGCAAATAAAGCACTTGAATGACATCTCAGCGTCCTCATCTGTAACATGGAGGAAGTGATAATACCTACCACCCAGGCTTGTGGTAAGAATCAAATGAGATGTTAATTATTGTTAGAGGGTGAAGGGGAATGCCCAGAGAGGGGCCCAGGAAATAGTTATGGGGCTGAAGGAGGGAGACAGCATCTGTAGTGGAGTGCCAGGAAGGGTTCATGGGAGATGTGGCACCTGAGAATGGCCTTGATGGATAGACAGGATTTCAGAGAAGGGCACATATTCCAGGCAATGGGAACAACGTGAGCAAAAGCACAGAGCAGGACAGCCACTGTAGGGCTGGCGAGAGTTGGAGGAGCCTTGAGCAGTACAGCTCTCCCCGCTCTGTAATCCATTCTCTACCTCTGAGAATCTGGTCCTTCCCACCTTCCTGGGCTCACAGTCAGTGGGAAAAGATAAGACAGACTAGACTAGACACTGGGTGCAGAGGGCAATGGGATCTGGGAGGAAGAAGAGTGCCTTTCAGCTGGAGCCATCCAGGAAGACTTCCTGGAAGAGGAGGCATTTTAGTGGATCCTCAGAATTTGAAGTACAGCAACAGAAGGAGATTTCAGATGAACAATGCTGTACAGCCCTGATGCCAATTCCCAGAATAAGGAACACAGATGAGTGGAAGGAAATGGATGGAATTGGAGGATAGGATGTGGGAAGATCAAGGCAGGCCTCAAATGCCAGGCTGAAGTATAGGCAAGGGGGAACCACTAAATACTACAGAGGGAGAGTAAATGCTGCGGTCAAAGGTTGACTTCAGAAAGATGAGTCTGGGGTAGTAGATAGGAGGCATTAGACCTGAGAAGCTAACCAGGGTCCCACCATCATCCAGATGTAAGGCTCAGGTGAAGAACACCCCAATGACAAGAGGAGATGATGCAAGGAGGAACCATGGGATTTCCAGGGGGAAGAAGACCCCAAGGAGACCTCTAGTCTTTCCTTCCGGAGTTGGGTCCCCCCCTCTCCCGACCCAGGAGGCTGATTCAAACTTCTGGGAGACCCTGGCCCAGGAGCCTCAGGGGGCAGGTCACAAGAGGCAGCTGGGCCTTGAGGAGGCTGCCAGGCTCCAGGGTCGGGAAGCTCTCCATCCCACACCCACCCCGAGCTGGGTCCCTTTCCCGGATGGGTTGAGAAGAGCTCTAGGCCTAGAGGCAGTGTTACCGGCAATCGGGTCCATCCCCACATTCCAGGCGTCCGAGAGTATGTTCTCCTTCCTGTGCCCCTTCCCCAAATCGAATTGGGTCTGTAAAGTCCCGTGGCGCCGACGGGGTTAAAGCCAGCTCGTGTCACCGCCCCCGCCACCCCACCTGCCCGCCGCAGCGGCGAATGCCGAAGCCGGAAAGCGCGGGACAAGGTGGGTATATCACAGCCGCTGAGCGACGGGCGGGGCGGTGATTGGCCGCTGCCAAGCTGCAGGGTACAGGGGAGGGGGCGCAGGGGTGGGCTTTGGCGGGCGCCCAGGGCTGGGTTCGTGCCCGCCGCCGGCTGGGCCGGGCTCGCTCCTCCAGTGCTCGAGCCGGGCTGGCTGGGCCGGGCGGCGCCCTCCGCACCGGACCCCGCGGGCTGGCGGGTGTCTCTAAGGTGACACTCCGGTGCGCGTCAGCGGCGGTGGCTGCAGGCGCGCGCTCATCGCCCGGGCTCTGGCTCCGCTCAGGCTGCGGCTCCAGCCGTCCGGGGGCCGCCCCAGCGCTCATCACGCAGCACCCCGACACCCACCAAGACCCCCTCCCGAGGGGCCCGGGAAGATCCCCGCCGGCCTTTCCGAGGCGCAGCGTCCAGCAGCTGCCGCTCCCGTCGTCTGAGCCCCGGCGTCGGGAGGGGCGTGCGGGACCCGGCGCTTCCCTCCCTCTCCGCCTCGCGTTCCCGGGCCCAGGAGGAAGGGAGACTGAACTTGAGCAGGGAACCCCGAAAGGCCGCAGGAGCCGCGGGAAGAGGGCGGCCTGAGGATGGCCGAGGGGCCGGGCGGCGGAGGGCCCCGCGGGGACGGGGCTGGCGGAGGCTGCCGCGCAGCCGAGGAGGAGGTGGTGCGGCGACGCTGCCGGCGGGGGGCGGAGGCCGAGGTCTCGCAGCAGCAGTGGCTCGAGGCGCCCCGGGGCATGGCCGCTGGATCCCCGGTGGAGGAGCGGTTCCGCCAGATGCACCTACGAAAGCAGGTGTCTTACAGGTAAGAATGCGGGTAGAGGGGAGCCCAGCGCTTGGGACCACTCCCCTTTTCAGTCAGCAGTCATTGAGCGCCTGCGGCTTGCCTGACACTGCTCTAGGCCCTGGGGATTCAGAAATGACTGCCAAGGGGCCTCTGCCTTCTGTGTCCAAGGGGGAGCTTCTGGGACCCTTTCTCTAATGAACAGTGAAAGCCCTGTTCATTCAACGTGAAATTACTGATGCCCGCTGTGTGCCAGGTACGGTACTGGGCGCTGAGGGGAAAAATAACCAAGACATGATCCTACGAACCTCTATCTGCTGGGGAGAGCCAGGAATGA